GGGGTAAATTTGTACAAGATATAAATGATGGTTTAAAAAATAAAAGGACCTTCTGCAGGCAAGGCAAGAGAGGATACATGAATGGATTAGTAAATATTATTAAAAAATGTAATCTGGCAGACTGGTGTACAGCTGTTCAGAAAAGTTGTATGAATCCACCCTGGGAAGAACGAGAAGTAGAGTTAGACGTAGTGCCTCTCACAATGAAGAAATCATTACATGAACCAGAACAGTTAAGGGCTTTATATGGGAATAAGATTAGTAATTTGCCTAAAATAAACACATTGCATGTATATTGTGACGGTTCAGTTATGTCAAGTGGCAGGGCAGGGTGCGGGATCCTTATAAGACAGTACACAGAACAAGGAAATGATGACATCAAAATTGGACTTCGGTTGAGCAGTTTAATTTCATCAACACAAGCTGAGTTATATGCAATATTAGTAGGATTGGAAAATGTTGTAAAGAGGTATAAAGATGCATATTTTTTTGTTGATAGTAGGGCAGCTTTGGATTCTTTGAACAGTGGGAGTCCAGTCTTTGGACACATTATTGGTTCATGTAGAAAATTAGTAAATACAATAAGGAAAAATGGCCATAATGTTCAATTTGTATGGGTCCCTTCACATGTGGGGATTGGTCTTAATGAAGCAGTAGATATAATAGCAAAAAGAGCCACGGAAAAGGCCGAGATCGACATAATATGTACTAAAACCTTGAAGCAATTAAGGAGCAAATTATGGAAAATACAATCAATAGAAGATAATTTCAAAAGGAATGAAATATACGAGAAAAGTGAAACAATGAAACATTACCATCATGTTCTCATAAACACAAAATTTACATATGGGAAAGGTAGGAGTAGGTGGAAAGATTCAGTGTATATGAGGTTAAGATTAGGATATAAATATTATTGGGAACGTGGAGCTGAGAGAAGTGAACAGGATAAAGAATGTACAGTTTGTAGAACATCCAGATCCCATACCCTGCCACATTATATACTGGAATGCCCATTGCTTAATGTATATAGAAATGCCCATATAAATAATGTCCCCATGCAAATAGAGTGGATGTTTGGAAATGGGAAAATATATGAAATATTAAAGAAATATAGAAATTTTGCATCTAGAATATAACTATGTATTATAACTAATTATATGAAATATTAGGGATTTATGTGAGTCCTGAGAGGGACATTTCTGGACTGGGGTGAGGATGACTTATGTCACTTCATCCCTTTGAGATGTATTAATGTTTTTTGTATCTCAATAAACGTATCAATCAATCAATCAATCCAAAAGAGGCGAAAATAATAACGGGATTCAAGGCATTCAAGGACCGAATCACACTTCTGTTGGGGGTGAATGTAGCTGGTTTCAAGATAAAGCCCTTCATGATATATCATTCAGAGAACCCAAGAGCTTTTAAACATGTTAGCAAGCACACACTGCTAGTGTTTTATCACACTAATAAGAGGGCATGGATGACCCTAGTACTGTTTGAGGATTGGTTCCTGAGTTGTTTCATTCCACGAGCCAAGGAGTACTGTCTGCAACAACGGATTGCGTTCAAGATTTTACTAATTTTAGGTAATGCTCCGGGACACCCACCACACCTGGACAACCTGCACCCTGATGTTAAGGTAGTCTACATTCCACCTAACACTACCTCTATCATCCAACCCATGGATTAAGGTGCTATTGCTGCTTTTAAAGCGAATTATTTACGTACGACCTTCGCTTAGGCTGTTGCTGCTACTGAAGGTGAGAAAACGCTCAAGAGTTTTGGAAGGACTACAACATTTTGAAATGTATAAAGAACATTAATGCAGCATGGGATGAGGTTACAGGTCAGTGCATGAATGGAATATGGAAGAAAGTCCTGAAAATATATGTGAGCAGTTTCAAAGGATTTAATGAAGTAACAAGATAGTGGAGTTGGGTAAACAGCTGGAGTTAGAAATTGATAATGAAGATGTTGAGCAGTTGGTTGAAAGTGTCGCAGAAGAGCTAAGTAACGAGGATCTTATTGAACTGGAAGCACAGAAAAATGCAGAGGAAGAAGAGAGTCAAAATGTAGAAGAAGAACCTGCACCCCAAAAAATTTTCATTGAAACAAATGGCAGAGGCATTTGCTACTATTAATAAGGGGATGCAAATGTTTGATGAAATGGATCAAAATGTTGAGCGTTTTACAAAATTTGACAGAATGATCCAAGATGCACTTGCTTGCTACAGGGAGATTTACAATGAAATGAAAAGGCAAACTGTGCAGTCTAAATTGGACATATATTTTAAGAAGTCCCCCATTGCTGTCTCCTCACACCCCATCAGTGCTGCCTCTTCACTCCCTAAAAATGATCCAATACCTTCAACAAGCAGTTTCCCCTGTATATTAACCTGTCTGAAGAAAGCGACATTGATGACCCACCCAGCTCTGTCTCCTCCTCTGCTTCATCCAATTAATGTAGTCTCCATGTATAATTAAAAAATTATGGGGGCCCATTAAAGGTAGTGCACAGTAACACTGTATCCATTCTTCATTATTGATTACTTTTACTGTACTGTATTTAATTTTAGATTTTATATGTATTATTTTTTGCATTTTCGACTTACGACCTGGATTTGGGTCCCTAACCCCGTCGTAAGTCAGGGAGAAACTGTATTTTGTAAAGCAAATATCAAGTACCATCCAGATACCTCTCTTATCCGGTTGGATAATGTGATAATAACCGTTTAGGTTACTACCAATATAAAAAGGTGGGTTAAAGATTTTTTTTTATTATATATTTGGAGGTCGGTCGGTCTGTCTGTCTGTCTGTGTCTGCCTCTGCATTTGTCTGCATATCACTCCCCTCCCAAATATATTATCGTCTTGACCCATAGATGGTTCTTAATTGGGTTTAATTTCAAAACATTGAGTTTTGGGGTCTAGGGACCTTTTCTCCCATCTCCAAGAATCTGAAGTTAATGGCATCTCCCAGACCATCATCAGTGGTTAATGGGGTCTACTAGAACATCATGAGTGGTTAATGGGGTCTACTATAGTGCATTTTTTCTCAGCTGAAAAAAGATGCCCCATCCTCTCCCCAAGAGTTACAGCTGATTGGCTGTTGCAAACCTGTCCAATTTTGTCCTGAAGTAATGATGTATTTCTAAATGAGTTTATTCATAATCGTTGGGATGATCGTTTCTGACGAGAAAGATAATTAGCTAAATTATATAAAGATACATATATCCATTATTTCAAACATAAGCATGTAGGAAGTTTATCAGAAGTATTATACATGAATTAACTGTGAAACTCTGGTAGCAAATTCACGCTTTCGGAAGACGCATTTAATATATACAGTACTTATTTTTACCCACAATAAGGCATACCAAGACAAATTATGTATCAGTAATACTAAATTAGGCAAAAACAACATTTTTAAAGATCAGAATTACATTGAAATATTACACGACCGTTAGCAGAGGCGGGAAAAATATGAAGTTGTTCGCAGTCATATATAATTTATTCATTTGTTATTTTTTTGTTTACTATTATTTACTTAGTATTTATTTTTACAATTTTCAACTCGGAGAGGTCCCTTTGACCTGTGAGGCCCTAAGCTATATAGCTTATCTAGCTTATACCTAAATCTGGCACTGTCACCGACCCACATCGGGGCTTGGGGGGAAAACAAAACAAAACATAAAAAAATAAATAAATAAAACAAATCAAGAGTGTGACATGATATAAGTATATGTTGTGTTGTCAATAGTAAAAGAAACAATTGAGACTGTGCAATTGTGTGTAAATGAGGCAGAAAGTCAGTCAGATCAGCAACCTGGGACTTGGTCACAATTTTTGTGATGCCATATGATTACATGAGACACATAAACACCTATGCTCTTCATTTCTTATTTTATAGTTCTACATTATCTTTTCTTTATTTCTAAGTCACATTACGTAGTAGTTTTGTAATGATTATTTCACAACTTTTATAGTTTCATTACATGTAATAATGGCAAAATGCTATCCCTTGCTTAGAATATTATTCCTTAATATCCCTCATCTAGCTACAATTTTGCTTAATGTTAGGTTTTTAGGAATGCATCCCCGTCGTTAAATAAGGGATACCTGTACTGCAGTATTCTTCACTGAAACTACACTCCCAACATGACATGTTTGCTACCACAAGGCATCTGGCTAAGGACTCGTTGGCTGGTTCAAGCAGTGCGTCATATCGGGACTAGCCAATGAGACGGAACTACGAGGTGGTGTGACGGAGGTAAGTTAGCAGCCGCGAACCATCACCCCGGCAGTCGGACTCCTAGATGGCCCGGTCAACACTTTCTGCCGTGAGCAGTGTGTGTGCTGTGGGAGTCCTGCCATGAGCAGTGTGTGCGCTGTGGGAGTCCTGCCATGAGCTGTGTGTGCTGTGGGAGTCCTGCCAAGAGCAGTGTGTGTGCTGTGGGAGTCCTGCCAAGAGCTGTGTGTGTGGGGAGTCCAGTGTGGCTGTACGTCATGGGAGTGCTGCCGTGTGGCGTGGAAGTGCTGCCGTGTGGCATGGGAGTGTTGCCGTGTGGCATGGGAGTGTTGCCGTGTGGCGTGGAAGTGCTGCCGTGTGGCGTGGAAGTGCTGCCGTGTGGCGTGGAAGTGCTGCCGTGTGGCATGGGAGTGTTGCTGTGTGGCGTGGAAGTGTTACAGTGTGGTGTGGAAGTGCTGCTGTGTGGCATGGGAGTGTTGCCGTGTGGCATGGGAGTGTTGCCGTGTGGCATGGGAGTGCTGCCGTGTGGCGTGGAAGTGCTGCCGTGTGGCATGGGAGTGTTGCTGTGTGGCGTGGGAGTGTTACAGTGTGGTGTGGAAGTGCTGCCGTGTGCCATACCAGTGTTGTGTGCTTTGATTATTAAATAGTTAAGTCCACCCGTACACGTTGTAAGTACCAACCATATTATTCTATTGGAAATAGCATAACAATCATACCTTTGCAAGTAAACAACTGAACTAATACGCACCTACAGGGTCCATTATGAAGGTCTGGTTGAATCAGGGCCTTTCACAAGGGAAGTTGGTTGTCTCAACACTAATCTGCAAACATTAAAAATCACTAAAAAGAATGTCAAATACAACTGTACTTGGTTTCAAAAACACTGTACAGCTGTTTAAGAGCATCTCAAATGTAATAAGTTTAACAGTGTCCAACTTTAGCCTCCAATTACATTATACAACTGCCAACATACACACAGTACAGTAAAGTAGTTTGACTTAAAAGACCCATACTGGTTATTGTACAACATTCCTTGTTTAACACAGTACTGTAGATGCATTCCAGATACTGTAATTACAGTGGAATCATGTTAAGCGACCACTAATTTCCCATTAAGCTTATAGGGACGTGTGCAGGTGAGGGCTAAGAGGACGAGTAACAATTAAGTGAGATGTAGAGTATACAGTTTATAAAAAGTCTATTACATGTACAGGTTGGACCTTATTAATCTGGGAAGCTTGGGACCAGACTGGTTCTGGATTTGCAAAAATTACAAACCATCGAGGACCAAGGTAAAAAAAAAAAAGGCAAAATAATGCATAAAATGTACTATTACTGGTACCAATACAACTTACATCAGCATAAATCTAGCCCAGGCTTACTGGACCTCTTTATGACAAAGTATTAGTGCTATGGCACAAGTTTACTGCACACTGGACCCTCGCTTTATGCACATTCACTAGATGGGAATCTAATATACTATAGGAATAGCAGTGTGTCTGTGTGTCTGTTCTGGCCAGCCGAAACGGCACAATCGTTTTTCATCAAACTTGGTGGAAAAATCGCATAAAATTCGTAGAGTGGAACAAACCTTGTCCCATGTCGATGGTTTCTTTAGGAAGGCGATTAACCATTTTATTTACGCTGGAAAACGATGCAAGTCTACGGACTTGGCGCACCCTCATTCGCTGTACGCTGTCAGCTAGACAGCGGTTGCGTGCTAGGCAAGCAAGAGCATTCAAACTTCCACTGGGCACGAAGGGTCCGCGATCACTTGTTCACATATATGTACAGAACTAAACAAAGAATTTATTTGAATTAGTCTGTAACGTTTAATGCCATAATATCCTCACCACGGGGGTTAAGTATACAGACTTTTCCCTGTGAAAAAGCCATAATTTTTAGCAACTTATTACTGTACTCACTTTGTACTCAAATGTACTAAGCTAAAGGACTAAAAAAAAATTCTCTTGTGCAAACTATGAAATGTTTATACTCAAATTAACAGGTAATAGGCAGCTACCAAACAGGGAGGTACTACCGCCTGGGAAGATATTGGAAGCATAATGTGTTGTCTAATGGTAGACCCTGCTGCCATATGGCTCCACAAAAATTGTGACCAAGTCCCAAGTTGCTGATCTGACTCTCTGCCTCATTTACACACAATTGCAGGGTCTCAATTGTTTCTCTTACTATTGACATCACAACATTTATATTGTTTCTCACATTTTATTTATTATTATTATTATTATTATTATTATTATTATTATTATTATTATTATTACTATTATTATCATTATCATTTTATTATTTATTTTTAATTTTTTATTGATTATAAATTTTATTTATGATGAATTATTATTATTATTATTATTATTATTATTATTATTATTATTACATTTTCGCCCCCCCCCCAGGCCCCGATGTGGGTCGGTGACCTGTGTCCGGGTGGGCTATTCCCAGTAAAAAAAAAAAAAAAATCTCTATCTTTCAAAGATTCCAGCAATGCAAGTTAGTATATTCTGCTAAGTCAAGTCAGTCTGTCACTTCTATAAAAGAAAAACGTTAAGCCTAATACCACCTTCACCCTCTAAAATCCTTATCGTCTTCTGGCAGGGTGTGTGATGTATTGACAGCCAGGAGCGGAGATTGCCAGTTGCATATTTATCAGTGAAGGGGGAAGGAATCAGGGACTCAGGATTATGCAATAGAGGGAGTTAAATTTCCACTTACAAAATGACACTGACTTGACTTAGCAGAATTTAACTTGCATTGCTGGAATTCTTCCAAGATGACATCAAAAAGGGAAGATTCAAGATCCGTGAGTCGAGCTATAGGCATACGTGTGTTGCAGTAGGTGCATACACCTCCCTTAGAACGGAAAGAGGTTTAAAGGTGGTGGCAACTTCCTAATACCGACCGTATTTTACCTCACATTTTCTTCGACTTCAAAGCCTTGCCCACTTTAAACAAGTAATATTGTTGGTAATTTTATTGATTAAAATACTCGAAAAATATAAATTTCCGTCGGAAATGCCGGTAAATATTCGTCCATTGGCTGTCCTCAGGTTTTGGTATGAGAATAGGTTTTGTGTGTATTTTTTTGGTGTGTTATTCAAAATTGTCCTTTATTTCTTGTGCAAATTAGCAATTTTTGCAAAAAATAAATTTTCATTTTAACAGAAACCACTAATTTGCACAAAAATGGAGGTCAGATTTGAGTAAATCACCAAAAACTATTCTCATACCAAAGGAATCAACCTAACCTATCCTACAAGGAGGAGGAGGAAAGGAGGAGACAAGTGACTAAGTGAGGAGTATAACCTCAGGTAAACATGGCAGGTACCTGTGGACAGCCAATGGACGAATATTAACCGATATGCCATAGAAGAAATGTCTTGGAATAGTCTGATCTATGCAAAAAATGTGTTTTTAATTAAGAAATTGAGTTGGGCCCACTTATGCAAATTTACCCATTACTGGGTAAACATTTACTAAAGTGGTGCAAGCGATTTTGCCAGCAAAAACCTTTTTTTTCCCTGCATGAATTTTGCTGCCTTTTATTGGAGATAGTTTTTTCCGGAGAAAACAAAAAACCAATGTTTTCCTAACATAACATAACCTGACCTAACCCCTTAGTGGGGGGACTAGTGGCTATATAATGTTGTCAGTATTTAACTTATCCTTGTTTAATCTAACATAATGTATTCCGCTATTTGGGAAACGCTATTTTTCAGAGTTGGGTCATGTATTATATAGCATGGTAATGTGATTCAGACGACCCACGCACTACACATTCCCCCACCCAGGGCGCTCCGTGCATGCGGTATTATAGTATAAATTATAAAAAAAGAAACACTTCCCCAAAAGAGAACATGGACACCAGCAATTCACAATAAAAATTATGGTGTTAAAGCAGTATGTTCTTGCTAGAATCGTAGGTTTTTCCTACAAAGATTAGCCCACCCGGGCACAGGTCACTGACCCACATCAGGGCCTGGGAAGAGGGGGGCGAAAATGTAGTACAGTAGTAGTAATAATAATGATGATGATGATGATGATAATAATAATAATAATAATAATAATAATAATAATAATAATAATAATAATAATAATTATAATATTAATAATAATAAATAGTTCATTGTTATGAGTGTCCGCTGTTAATTTCTGTTCTTGTATAAAATTCGTTGTTTCAGATGGTATGTGGGTGTCTCGGGCAGCTTCGCTCACTACTCGCCAACACCAGCTGAGCCCTTATTTAAGTACAGTTAACCCTCACTTTACACGGTTAATGTAACCCAGAGGGTACCGCGGAAAGCGAGAAACGCGTAAAGTGAATAACATAACATATGGGATTAATTGAAATGGAGTCCAGGCCGATCCCCAAACTCCACTTTTTGACGACACATAACTATGTTGTAGTAAAAATAACATCTTAATTTTATGATGGTACATGCGCACAATTAATACTTAAGAGAAATAGAGAAATACAGTCGCCAAGTTAATGTCCATTCAAATAATGGACACAACTCCCTCCCCCTCTTCTCACACTACACTGCTGGCTCTTCCCTCTGAGAAATTTTGGGGGAAAACCAGGTATAGTAATAAATAATACCTCAATCTAAAGTTAGGATAATATAATTGACATTGCTGGATTCCTTGTAAGACCAGGAATATTTTGAATATAAATGTCATATATTTTTCACAAAAGATAACATATTTACTCAGATTAAACATTACATCTAAAATTTGTATGTCTAATGCAAAATCTATGATGTTTATATTCAAAATGATCATCAAATTGTAAGAATTCCAGCAATGTAAATTATATTCTGGCCGGGTAATTTGTATGAATTTTATGAGCTAAAACAAATATCTTCAGTTAATAAAAAAAAAAAATATTCTTCACGACACTATCTGTCAATCAAAGTACCCCACCTTGCCTCCCCCCCTCTTCCAACCGAGCGGTCAGTCCGTCCCAACCCTCCCCCCCACCCCCACCACTCCTCCCTTCAAGAGAAGAGTGGGTGAAAAAAATAAATTTTAACATTTTGTATTAAATAATACCTCAGATTAAAGTTAGGATAATATAATTGACATTGCTGGATTCCTTGTAAGACCAGGAATATTTTGAATATAAACGTCATATATTTTGCACAAAAGATAACATACTTACTCAGAGTGAACATTATATCTAAAAATTTTATGTCTAATGCAAAATATATGATGTTTATATTCAAAATGATCATCAAATTGTAAGAATTCCAGCAATGTAAATTATATTCTGGCCGGATAATTTGTATGAATTTTATGAGCTAAATAAAAAAATTATACTTCACCGTGTAAAGGGGTACACCCACCGCGGAATGTGAGCATCCTGGGTTCTGGCAGGGCACCGCGTAAACGTGGAAACGGGGAATGTGGGACCGCGTAAAGTGAGGGTTGACTGTAATAACTTTGTTTATTACAGTATTACCCCGCCTAACGCGGTTTCACTTAACGCGTTTTATCATATACGCGGTGCCTCGCCAGAGCTGAACTTTCACTTAACACGGATTTTTTCCACATATACGCGGTGAGTGTCCGGCTCGAGACGCTATTTTTAGATTTGCCCCACCCTGCCTGACTGCCTGTTTTAGCTCATAAAATTCATACAAATTACCCGGCCAGAATATAATTTACATTGCTGGAATTCTTATAATTTGGTGATCATTTTGAATATAAACATCATATTTTTGCATTAGACATACAAATTTTAGATAAAAATTTTTCTCAAATTAACTATGTTATCTTTTGTGCAAAATATATGACATTTATA